GAGAGTGCCTGATGTGTTTGAAGAACTTGAGGTGTGGCCAGTGTAGCTTTAGAAAAGTAAACGATGGGAAATAAAGAAGCAGAGAGATATTAGAGGGTACAGATACTTCGATCATATTAAATGTTTGATTTTTACTGTTAAGTGAGATGGGAAGCTGTGAAGGTCTTTGAGCAGAGTAGTGAAAAAGTATATGTTTAGCAAGATCACTCTCGCTGCTGTGTTGAACACAGACTGAAAAAGAGGAGACAGGCAGAATCAGCAGACCAGTTGGTAGACTAGTAGTACAGATTAAGAGATGACTGAAAAGGACAGAGGGTAGACCAGACGAAAGTGGGAAATAAAGGGAGGAGTAAAAAACGATGCCTAAGTTTTTTGACCAGAGCAACTGAGAGAATGGAGTTGGATAATTCTCTTAAATCACTGCATTAAATCTGTGCATCATTTCACATGTCCACTTGACTACAGGTGATTTTACCATATAGGCTTGCGGCGGGGGGAGGGGAGGAGAGGAACAACAGAAAAGAGATAGGAAGGAAAAACATGTTTTAAAATATAATGAATTAGGCCTTAATGAACAATTGTCCTAAAGAAACCTGAGATAGAATACTATAAATCTGATGTGTTCTCAATCTTTAGAACTGAACTAGGAATCAACTCTGAGAGTTCATGATATATTACGAAACTCTTTGCCTTTTGTGGAAATTAGGTTGTTTTCAATTTTTGTTTTTGCAAATGATGATGCTTGTTGTTTTTTCTGTAAGGTAGATTTCTACAAATAAGATTTCAGGCTGTTAGACTGTGTCAATCTAAAAATTTGATAGATTCTGCCAATTACCTTTTAAAAAATAATTTTAGCAAGTTTCATTTCTTAAATCAATATTATGGACTGCTCATTTACCTTGTTTTATGTATATATAAAATCTGTTTAAATTTTTAATTGCCTGGCTTTTTTGGTCCATTTCTATTGTATTTTTTGTTTTTTAAATTTGTAAGCATTCTTTATATATTATTTCTTTATTATAATTTGCAAATATCTCACTATTTACCTTTCATTTTATAGTATCTAGTATGAAAATTTAAAGTTTTTATGTAAGCACATCTATCCATCTTTTATGGCTTCTGGGTTGCAGCATGCTAAAACGATGATATAAATATGATCTCATGTACATATTACAAAAAGTTTTTAGAGATAGGCTCTTACTCTGTCTCCCAGGCTGGAGCAGTTGTAGCTCCCTACAACCTCAAACTCCTGACCTCAAGTGATCATCCTGCCTCAGCTTCCCAAGCAGCCAAGATTACAGGCATGTGCCACCATGGCTAGCTGGGTTTCTGTTTGTTTTTTTGTTGTGTTTGTAGAGAAGGTGTCTGTGTTGCCCAGACTGGTCTCAAACTTCTGGCCTCAAGCTATCCTCCCACATCAGCCTCCTAGAGTGCTGGGATTGCAGGCATGAGCTACTATACCTGGCCAGTCTTTTATATTTTCTTCTGATACTTTTATGATATTTTACTTTATAGACTTTATAAAGTTAGATCTGAACAACCAGCATATTTTTGGTGTGGTATGATACGGTTTAGATCCGGATAGCATTAGTCGAATGGTATGATACGGTTTAGGTCTGGATTGCATTCGTCGTATGGTGGGAACTGTATCTACCTTTTGTTTTCTTGCACTTGGGCAGTGATTGTCTCGACCACTTAAGTCATCCTTTGTCCACTTAAAATGCCAGCTTTTCCTATATTGTTTAAACAAACTTTGAAAAAAAAAATCAAGTTTATTGAGGTATAGTTGATATACAATGAAATGCATCCATTTTAACTGTACTATTTAATTGATTTTGACGAATATATACACTATCACTGCTACTATAATCAAGCTTTAGAACAATTGAATTACCTCCAGAAAGTTCCTTCTTGTCTATAGTCATTTCTCTCTCTTTGCCCCAAGCAACCACTAATCCGTTTATTAGTTTTGCGTACTCTAGAATTGCTCAGGTAACATATACTCTTCCATGTCTGGTTTATTTCACTTAGCATGTTTTGAGATTCATCCAATTTGTGTTGTCATGGATTTGTTTTTTAAATACAATATGGGTGTACCACAGTGGGTTTATTCATTTTCCGGTGAACATTTATATTGTTTTCAGTTTTAGGCTGTTGTGAATGAAGGTACTGTTTTATATGCATGTCTTTGTGTGAACATGTTTTCATTTTTTTAGGGTAAGTACCTTAAATAGGAATTATTGGGTCACATGGTGAATTTATGTTTAAATGTATAAGGAACTGTCAAATTATTTTCCAGATAATTATACTACTTTACATTCTCATCAGCAGTGTATGAGAGTTCCGGTTCTCCAAATATGAGCATTTGATGTTCTCAGTCTTTAATTGCAGACATTCTGAGAGGTGTGTAGTGGTATTCCATTGCAGTGATTTTTTTTTTAATTGTGTAAAAATACACATAACCTCAAATTTACCATTTTAACGATTTTTAAGTGTACAGTTCAGTGACATAAAATACATTCACAACCATTACCACAACCGCCTCTGAAACTTTTTTATCCTCTGCCTGAAACTCTACCCGTTAAACAGTAACTCTTCATTGCCTATTCTCCCCATCTGCTGGTAATCACTGCTGCTTACTGTATGAATTTGACTCTTCCAGGTACTTTCATATAAGTGGAATCGTGATTTTTGTCCTTTTGTGTCTGGCACATTTCATTTAATAATAATAATGTCCTGTGTTAGGCCATTCTTGCGTTGCCTTAAATGAATATCTGAGACTGGGTAATTTAAAATGAAAAGTTTATTTGGCTCCTGGGGCTGCAGGCTGTACAAGCACAGCACCACCATCTACTCAGCTTCTGGGGTGCTCTCATGGTGGGTTTACTCATGGTAGAAGGCAGAGGGGGAGCAGGCATGTCATATGGCAAGAGCAGGAGCAAGAGAGTGGGAAAGTGGCACACCCTATTTAAACAACCAGATGTCATGAGAACTCACTCTATCCCAGGGACAGCACCAGGCCATGAGGGATTGCTCCCATGACCCAGTTACCTCCCACCAGGCCCCACTCTCAACATTGGAGATTATATTTTAACATGAGATTTGGGCAAGACAAAAATTCAAACCATATCAGTCCTCCAAGTTCATTCATGTTGTAGCATGTATCCAAATTTGATTCTTTAAGGTTGAATAATATTTCATTGTGTACATATATCACTTTCTGTTTTATTTTTTTGTCAGTGACATTTGGACTGTTTGAACCTTTTAACTATGTGAATGATGCTGCTGTGAACATTGGTTTATAAATACCTGTTTGAGTCCTTGCTTTTAATTCTTTTGGTTATGTACTTGAGAGTGGAGTTGCTAAGTCATAAGTCATATGGTAATTTTATGTTTAATTTTTTTGGAGACTGCCATGCTGTTTTCCACAGTGAATGCACCATTTTACGTTCTCACTGGCAGTGAATAAGGGTTTCAGTTTCTCCGCATCTTTGCTAACACTTGGTAGTTTGTTTTTTTATTTAAAATAATTGCTATTCTAATGGGTGTGAAAAGTAATTATGGTTTTAATTACATTTTCTTCATGACTACCATTGAGAAGTTTTCTTTTGTGTGTTTGTTCAATATTTTGCACATTCTTTTCAGAATGTATGTTCTTTGTCAGATAGATAAATGTATTTCTTCTGCTTCTTTACTGATTTTCTATCCATTTATTAATTACCAAGAGAGGAATGTTGAAATCTTCAACTATAATTTTGACTTTATGTTCCTTCTGTTCTATTTTTGCTTCATATGCTTTGAAGCAAAATCTGTGAAGTTGTGTCATTAGGTGTGTTCACATTTGGGACTGTTAGGTATCCTTGATACATTGACGCCTTTATATTATGAAATGTCTCTGTTTATCTCTGGTAATGTTCGTTCCTTAGCTAAAGTCTTATGTTGGCATTAGTGTATCCACTCCTTTCTTATGATTAATTTTTGCATATTATCTTTTTGCTGTCTTTTTATTTTCAACTTACTGATCATTTAGTGTCTTTCTTTTAGATAGCATAAAGTTGCATCTTGTTTTCAGACTGATTTTTATGATCTTTGGTTTTTAATTTGATTGTCTAAGTCTATTTACATTTATTGCAGTTGGCAATAGAGTTGTGTTTAAGAAAGGATTTGTTTTCTATTTATATAATCTTTTTCCTCCTCTTCTGCTTTCTTTTTGGTTAATGAACATTCTTTTGGAATATTGTATTGTCTCGATTTTTTTTAGCTTGTCCCTCTGTTTTTCTTCCCAATGGTAATTCTAGGATTTATAATATGCACCTTTAACTTACCTCAGTCTACCTTTAAAAATATTACTCCTCTTAATGTATAAGAACTTTAGAATGGTATACATCTATTTACTCTTACTGTTTTTGGTATTGTAATCTTACATTTATTTTATTTCTATATGTGTTATAGATTCACAGTAGGGTTTGAAACTATTTCAAAGGCCAGTAGTCTTACAAAGAAACTTTTTAACAATAACATTCCTTTATATTTACCCTCATATTTACCATTTTCATTTCTTTTCCTTTGTGGAGATCCAAGTTACTTACTGGTGTTATTTTCCTTCTACTTGAAAAAATTTCTTAAACATTTCTGAAGTGTGGGTCTACTGGCTGCAAAATCTTTCAGCTTTTATTTGTATGGAAATGTCTTTATTTCACCCAACATTTTATTGTAAAATTTTTCAGACCACACAGACTTTAAAATAATTGTAAAATGTAATTTCACAATTAACATTTGGTTAATTTGTTTTGTCTTCTGTCTTGTCCATCTATTCATCTTCTCTTCTTCTAGTGTCTTTTTTATGCTTTTCAAAGTAAGTTGCAGATGTTAGTATACCACGCCCTTAACTTCAGCATGTATATTAACTAAAACTGAGGAGTTTAGTATTTTTAACTAGAATTTACTGTGCTATTCCAGTTATTCATTGCTGTGAAATAAATTGCCCCAAACTTAGTGCCTTAAATATTAGCAACGATTTATTTTGCTCTGAATCTTTCATTTGGTCAGGGATTGGCAAGGAGAGCTTGTCTTTGGCAATACATTATAACAACTGTTTATGTAGCATTTACATTGTATTTGGTACTATTAAGTAGGCTAGAGATGGCTTAACGTATCTGGAGATGCATGCAGGTTACATGCAAATACTATGCCATTTTATGTAAGAGATTTGAAGCATCCTTGGATTTTGGTATCCATGGGAGTCCTGGAGCCAGTCCTCTGTAGATAGTTGTGGTATTACTGTAGTCTTTGGATTGAAAGAGTCACGGATTTCACTCAAGATTGAAGGAGATGGGCCACAGACTCCGCCACCTGATGGAAAAAAATGACAATGTTACATTACTAAGAAGACCATGTGGAATGGTTTCTGTTTTGACCATCTTTGTACAATACAGATGACCACATATACCATTTCATGAGCTGTGACAAATATATACACCTTTGCCAGAAATTCCTATCAGGGTATAGAACATATACCTTTTCTTAGTTACTCCTCCTCCCTGCACCACCCCCAGAACCTATCATTGTTCAGATTGTTTTCATCTTAGTTTAGCTTTCTTAGAACTTCGTGTAAGTAGAGTAGTACAGTACTTAGTGTTGTAAAAAGCTTTCTTTTTACTCAGCATAGTGTTTTTGAGATTCATCCATATTGTTACATGTTTCAGTGGTTTGTGACTTCATCTATTAAGGGACACCTGGGCTATTTTCAGTTCCTTGCTATTATAAATAAAAGTACAGTGGACATATATGTTTCTTTTCTCTTGGTTAAATTGTTTTTTCTTTCAGCATTTGTTTTGATTAGAAGTCTGGCTATACAGTCATGTGCCACATAATGACATTTCATTCAACAAGAGATCACAGATTACAGCAGTGACTTGAGATTATAACACGGTGTTTTCACTGTACCTTTTATACTGTGTTACAGTGGTCTACCGAATTCAATACAGTAACATACTGTACAGGTTTATAACCTAGGAGCACCTGGGCTATACCATATACCTTAGGTCTGTAGCAAGCTGTACCGTCTAGGTTTGTGTAAGTGCGTTCTGTGATGTTTGCACAATGACAGATCACCTAAAGATGCCGCCTAATAATAGCATTTCTCAGAATGTATTCCTGTTGCTAATGCTAATGATGCGTAACACTACTTATCTTTTCTTCCTTACACTAAGTCTTTTTTCCCTGGCTACTTTTAAGATTTTTTCTTGTCACTTTTCATTTTTGATGATTACCATGCTGAGAGTTGTTGAGGTTTGTTTTTTTGTTTGTTTGTTTTTTTGCCCTTTTGACTTTGTACGTTTATGTTATGGTTTTCCTTAACTTTGGAAGACTGTTGTCATTATTTCTTCTATATATATTTTTAATCACCTCTACTCTTAACACCATTTCCTCTCTTTCTGGGACTCCAGTTACACATATGTTAGACCATTTGGTATTTTCCACAGGTCATTAACATTGTATTTGTTATTTTTCGGTCTTTTTATTTCTCTGTGCTTCAGGTGGTTTTGCCTTCTGTTTTACTGGTTTTTTTTTCCTCCTGCCATGTTAAATAATTTCAGATATTTTGCTTTATATATTTAGAAGTTCCATTTGATTCATTTTCATCTTTGTGTATTTTTTTGAATTCTTGAGCACATTTGTAATAGCTATTTGAAAATTTTACTTACTGATTCCATGAATTTTTTCACTTCTGAATTTGTTTGTTGACTTTTCTCTTGGTTGTGGGTTGTGTTGTCCTGTTGCTCTTTTTAAACATATTTAATGATTTTTGAAAATTGGTTGCTGGACATTGTAATATTTTGTTGTTGAGTGACTAGATTTTGTTTCCTTTTAGAGGGTTTTGTTTTGAAGCCAGCTAAATAATTTGCTGGTAAGTTTTATTCCTTCAGGGCTTCAGTGGAGTTTGTCTAGAGAAGGCTTTGCTTTAATGGTAATAGCTCCTACCTAAGGCGTGATCCTTCCGAGTCTTTATTAAATCCTCCCAGTCACCGTGTTCTCTTCACTCAGGTTACAGGGGATTTAGCAGTCTTCCAGATCTTTATAAGTACTGGGAATATTGCAGCTCATTGCTTCTCTTCCCTAGCTTCATGGAGTCACTTACCTTACTTATGTACAGTTAGTACATAGCATTAGACTCCCATTGCCATTAGACTCCCCAGTAGAAGATTTCTGAAGCCTTTTCTCTGCCCTGTCAGACAAGCACCCCTCTTGTCTGGCATTTGTCTTATAAATTTTACCCATTTCAGCTTCCTCAGCTGTGATCTCTTGCTTCTCACCTCAGTGAAACTGCTATTTTCTCATTGGGTTCCCCCTCCATTGACTGCAGGTTGGAAGTTACCTCCAGACAGACATCCAAGCAGTGGATGGCTCACCTTTGTTTTTGTCCTTTCATGGATTTTAGTCTTGTGCTCCCCATTATCCAAGGTCTGAAAATTCTTGTTTGAGAAGAAGCAACTGTCAGATTTTTGGGAATTTCTCTGGACTTAACTTTCCGTTGTGTTTACCTGTTTAATGCTAATACCATATCAAGTTTTTATTTTTTTAAGGAGAATCTTTTAAATATACATACAGAAGAGTGCACTTCTAAGTGTATAGCTTGTTGCACTTTCACACACTGAGTACATATGCTTAGCTAGCATTCAGATCAAGAAACATCAGCAGCTTTTCTGTAGCCCCTAGTGCTCTGTGTTACTGCCCCTTCCATGTGGAACCACTGTCCTGACTTCTCATAGCATAGATTAGATTTGCCTGTTTCCATCTGTTATCTCACTAGAATCAAGCATTCAGTTGTGTCTGATTTCCTTTAATATATTCGTGAGATTTATCCAGATTGTTGGTTGTAATAATTGATTGTTTATGATCGTTCCTTTTATAGTATTCCATTTTAAGAATATACTACAGTTTAATCTGTCGATGGACATTTACTCATTTTTGGTTTAGGACTGTTAAGAATATTGCTACAGCTCTCAACATTTCAGTGATTGTTGTCTTGTGAATATATGTGCTTATTTCTGTTTGATGTATACTTAGGAGTGAAATTTTTAAGTCATAGGGTGTATATATATATATATATTTTAGTGTATACTGTCAGTTTTCGAAGGTGTTGTGCTGATTTTAATTATACCATTTAAGTTAATATATTATGTTTTAATATCTGGTAGAGAAAGGGACATTATTAGAAGTTTGTTTAGTTATTATGTATTTAGTCTTTGAAATAATATGTCTCTTAAATTGGCATTTACTTATATTTGTCTTAATTAGGAAGAAATGATATTTTTGTTCATCTATGAGTCACATTTGGAATTAGCTCAAGATCTTTTGTCAGACCATGGGTCTTGATACCCTTTTTAATTTTTTGTAGAGGGGTATGGTGTCAGGAAAACATAGTCACCATTATGAAAATTAAAATATGGAAGAGATGATCCCTACTGTCAATCAGCTTACAACTAGAGGCACTGAAAAATGTATACAGATAGCTGTAATGTAAGGTATAACATAAGTATGAGGTAGAAATTAATACATATTTTATGGTATTAAGAATATATTAATAAGACGTGAAGGAGATGGTGGTTATGTACAAGAGGTTAGATGCCTGTGAGATACAGTCTTCAGAATGAGGCCAGGTTTTAACATGGCCTGTGATAGGTGGATGGGGGAATAGACGTTAGTAATGAACAGAGGACCATTTCTGAGTGAAGTCTCCTCAGAAGCAAATGTATTGGCGTCGGAAACACAGATATTTATTATATCATAGCCAGTAGTCTAGTGATGAGACTGGGGTCAAGGCCATGAGGCAGGGGCCTCAAGGAAAATGTGAAGGAGTTAGGAATTTATTCCACTGACATGAGAAAGCGTTAAAGCTTTCGAATATGGAATAATATGTCCAACTTTGAGTTTTCAGGAAGATAATTCTAGCAACAAACTCAAGGATAAAGGCAAAAGGAAACCAGATGAAATAATGGGGGGCAGTGTTGGTAAGTTTGGGGCAAAAAGAAGTAAGAGATATTTCTAAGGAAATTTATAAGGTTTGAATATACATTAGAAGGGAGGTACAAGGTAATGAGCACGGTCTTTAGAATCAAACAAATTTGGGTTTGAATTTTAATTTTGCATGTACTAAAGGACTGAAAGCAAGTCCCCTAAGAGAAGAATGTTCTTTGTAAGATGCTTATTCTATGAACATTCTCAGGTACTGGAAGTATAAAAGCAAATGATACACATATTCTCTTGAAGTTTGGTCTAGTCTGGAAGAAGAGGCTGCACTGGCAGGTTTTGACCAAATTGTGTAGTTTCTGACGTGATTGGGAGATTTGGCTTTATTCTGGAAGTAACTAAAAGCCATCAAAAAAGACTAGGGAATAGTGTGGGAATGAAGAAATGTAGGGGAATTTCTGAGGATGAATTGGTAGCAATTGGTAAACAAATTGATATACTGGGAAAGAGAGACTCTAGAATATGACTGAGAATTTTCTAATTTGACCAGCTGGACTGACAGTGCTGCCATTACCTCACAGGATTTTTTTAGTGTGCCTTAAAAATCTTGCTTGTCCCTCGTAAAGAATGGCTTTCCTTTTCTTCAGACTAAGTCAGTACTTTTTATTATAATACACACTTACCACCCCCTGTATTTCTCCATCGAGACACTTTTAACTGTGCATTGTAACTGCATAATTAATTGTGGTTTTTATTTGTGCCCTTTTCTCTCACCACATGAAGACAAGAAATTATGTCTAGCTTTTCTACCACAGCATCTTGATCCGCCTAGTACGCAGTCAAAATCTAGTAGACAATTTTCAAATTAATGATTATGGAGAAATTGAAGGCTGAAGGAGTATCACCCTACGTGGGAGAGAAAGTAATGAATGGCACCTCACCTAACTAGGACAGTGAGATTAGGCAGAGTGAGTTTTTTGGGAAAATAACTGAGTTTGATTTTAGATATGCTTAATGTAGATGCTAATGAGACATCCAAATGGATGTGTACCACTGGCAATTGGTAGTTGCAGGCATACCGTGCCAGAGATAAGAGCTTAAAGATACAGAGTAAGGGGTTTGTAATTATAGAGGTGCTGTGGGAATGGATGGCACTGCGCAGAGATTTGGTTTAGGTTAAGAAAAGCGGCTATTGACGGAAACTTGGAGATAGGCCATGTATGAGAGGTAGGAAGATGAACCAGCAGAAGACCTTGTTGCCTTTAGAGAGATGGAAGAAAGTGAGTGGATATGTTGATTAGGGAAGCCAGAGGAGATGAGTCGTTAGCAGTCTTAACAGCTACAAAAATTAAGATTAAGGGGCCACAGCATTGGGAATA